TTGAAGGCGCACCCCACTCTAATGTCAGCGGTAATAGGCTTCAGGGGATCCTTGTTGGACAAGAAAATTAATGGATATTAATTGGCATGCACACAGATCCATGTCTACAGGAATATTAGTGAATATTAATATTGAATTATTAGGAACACTGCCTTGTTGGGGGGCGGCCATGGTGGCTTGAAGGTTGGATCATACTCTGCACACTCTTCATACTGTCGTTGGCTGTTCTGTTTTGCACTGTTTTATTATAGTGTCATAAAACATCTCCTTGTTTTTACTACAGGAGCTGTTTTGAACTGTTGCTGTCAGTGCCTGAGAATGAAATCCCATATGAAGCCTGGGTTCAGTTCCACCACTCTGTTCAGGTACAGGACCTTCAAAGCATTGTTTGCTGATGGGTGACTGCATAGAGAAAAGTAAATTTGTGTGTGTCTGTGAAGGGGGGGGGGTCAAGTTGATTCTTTGGGCGTTTTCTGTAAAAGCCCTCCTAAAAGTAAACCCAAAGACGAGCTGTTTCAAATTGGTGTGGACAGCATTGTTTTGTTTTTGTTTACCCCGTGGTGAGTCTAAAACATCTGTCTTTATAACCTCTCACTCTTCACAGGTTGTCAAATCTGTACTTCAATATGAAACAAATCTAGGTGTGAATATCTGCACAAGACTTAAACAGAATAGCGTTTCAATTTTTCTTACATTCAGCAGTTTTGTTTCCAAAGAATGAAGTGAAGCGCTTCAGTCTCATGGGGTGGGTCGCATGGCTGTGGACTTGATTTCTTGTGGCAAATGTGCACTGAAGAGTTGGCAGAATACGTTGCTAAATTGATTCAATATGTTCAAGCTGAGCAAAACTGTGACATACTGAGAAGATTTATGGGAATGTAATAGCTCTGTAGCTGAAGTCTCATATAGGTTTTTAAGTACTCTTACTTTCTTTGATACTAGATTTTGGGCTGCGAAGTCACTATATTAAGTTGAGTTCACCCACATGCCGAATGACATTGATTGATGACATTTCAAAAAGGAAAATAAAAAGTCTTAATTTCTACAGACAGACTTGTCAGCAAAGAAAAAGTAATTCTAAACCAGGCTGTGCTGAGCTGTCACCTGTTTTTCTTTTTAGATGTGAACAGTGACAAACGTTTTGCTTGGTGTAGAGCAGATAATGAATTATCGCTTGTGCTGAATCACAAACTGTGACAGCCTTTTGAGTTGTTCATTTATCATTTTATCACACATCAACAGAGAGAAAGCAGCACTGCTGCCTCCATAAAGGGAACATAGCCCTTAATAATTATATTTTTTGTATTCATGAAAATGAATGTTTATAAAGATGCTGACCGAACAATTTTATTGTATTTAGCGTTACCATTTTTGTGTTGTGTGCAGATTGCCCATGATACCCTGCTACAGTATGGAAGCACAGACCTTCAAGCATTACTCCAAATCACAGGAGAGGGAGGGGCATGGAGCAACCCTGTCCTTACATCTCTCCTCACCGGGCAGCTGACTAACCCGGAAGAAGGTTAGGATCTAATCAACTAGGTTCTTTTTATTTGAAAACTATAGTTATTTAGAACTACGTTGGTTTTTTCTTTATTTGTGACTTGGATTTTGTTTGAATTCTGTCTTTAGTTAATGCATATATCAGCTTGGAGGGTGAGGGCTTCATGGAGATGCGGGTGAAACATCTGGAAAAGATGGGCGAGATTGCCAAAGCTGTGGTTTTGGCCAAAGCTTGCACTGAATGCAGCACCTTTTCTAATCAAGCCACGTTTCGTCAGACATATGTCTCCCTGCTTTGTCACCTGTTGCCCAATGAAGAGGCCATAATGGAGGTATTCCAGCAGTTTCTTTTTGTGAGCTGGGATTGGTTGCTTTGGTGACTTTTGGGTGTTTCAGTAAATTGATTAAGGAGTTTCTGCATTTATCATTTTCACCAAACCAACGTGCAGAGTATCAAAAATATAAGAAGCGTTCAGTGTGACACAGAGTGTGTGCCAGGTGATCACGACTGTGATGGCCTCCCAAAGCTTTCAGAGGACAGACAAAAGCATTCATTCTTAGTATTCAGTCACACATACACAAGCAATCTGTAACTGATATTAGCTGATAAAGAAAAATGGGGCATATTTGCAAGTCAAATCTTTTTAGAATGAGTGTAAAAAATTTACCTATTCATAAGGGTTTTCTGCACTGACTCCAAAAATAGAGCTTCAAACTCGCATGCAAATTGAGCTTTCAGTTTTCTGGCTTTCAGTTGGAGGACTCAGAAAATCCTCCAGCCGATAGAACATTTGGGTGCTTTGTGGCCTAGTTTCAGTTTGGCATTATATTGTATGCTGTAAAAATGTTTTAGCCTGCTTCTTTGTACATAAATCTAACCCATGTGCACACAGAAGTACCTTAGCATAATAATTATTCTTTGTCAGTTACTATTGATAATTCCTGTACTAGCAGCGTTTGGATTTGTTTTACATGCTGTCTCCTTTTATTCTTTTGATTACAGTGTCTCGCCAGTGTGTCAGATAAAAGTGCAGACTAGGTATAGGATGATCAGAAAAGCAAGAAGTGTAATTTTATTACACACACAGAGTTGTCAGTATGTTGGGCAGGTTTTTTTTATATTCATATAAAAGCCACACAGCTTTGAACTCGGGATAAAAAAATGATACAAAAATAGTTTTGTTTATTCAAACGGCTCACATTTCCACACTCATAATGTCTAAGTGAGCGAAGAAAGAGGCTATTATACTTTATAAATATAAAGCTGTGAAGAAAACTGGAGTCAGCGGTGCAGTGATATTTAGATCGAGTGTCCTATTGCATTTTCTGTGTGTGTAAGAGAGAGAAAAATGGCCTTTTAAATAAAATATAACATTATTTCTCTGCCACGAAGACAGAACATTCATTATTATAATACAGTGAAGGGAAAAAAAGTTGCTTTGTCAGGAGGAAGTTTTTAGTTTGCTCTCTTATACATTTTATAAATCAGACTAGTATGAGATATTATCCAGATCTTGCATGTGCTTTATCTTCATTTTTTTTTTTTTTTTTTTGCTCCTGCCTCTGTGGTTCTCAGTTACCCCGCTTTTTCTATATGCCTCCAAGGGCATGCTCACCCCATTAGAGTTTTAGACTATTTTCTGTCCTCATGGGGTCATGAAATTCCTCCAGGAACATTTAAACATTTTAAAATGTTGTTCTGCAGCTACAACAGCACTACTTTTTCATAGGTCTGCATCTTAGAAAACAGCAAATTTTGTATTAAATCATGCTGGGAGAACATTTTATCACCATATTCTGGTGGTAGTATATGACTGACATAAAACTAAATGTACAAAAAGACACACATTGATCCATGGATGTTGATTTTTCTGGCATTTGTAACTTTTTGTTGAGTGACTGGAGACTTTCGTTGTTTGCTGAGCAGCCAACATTATGTTTCCTGTAGATATCGAGACTGGACTGCAAAGATGTACTTGAGATCACGTGTAATTTGGAGACAGAGGGGGAGGAGAATACAGCGTTCATCCTGTGCACAACTTTCTTGACACAGCAGTTACAGCAGCAGAGTCTTTACTGCTCCTGGTGAGTGGGCTCTCTTTAAAGTTTTCTCTTTTTATTTTATTTTATTTTTTTAGACTTGATGTAGGAATTTATTTAAAGGAAAGTGATTCTTTGGTAATTTTTGCATTCACAAACAACTATATGTGTAAACCTTTTCTTTTTTTTTTAATTAAAGGGAGTTGATTTTATTATGGAGTAAGCTTCAGAGGAGGCTTGACCCCTCACCAGTGTCTCTTCTGGAACGATGCCTTCAGCTAGGTGCCATTGCCAAAACAGTCGACCATTTGCTTTACTTGGTCCGTGTGATTCAGACAGAGGTGAGTGTGAAAACCCGTGCTTTACAATTGTGATACTAAAGTGGAACAGGTTGTTTGGCATTATGGGGGCAGGCAGACTATATTTGCATTACTTCTTACTTGACTGGGGAGTGAAAACAAAGATGTATGAGACAGATTGGATGCCCTGCTCATTGATGCCCTGGCCCAGATCTGGGAGGACAAATTTTAGCCTAATGGACTAGCGTGCCTGTTATTTTTCACTTTGACTTTCAGGGTGTCTTTGAATTCAGCCCTTTGTAGGTTTATCATTTTCAGTTTCATCAAACGATGTGGAGTCCTTTTGTTCCTGACACAGTAACCAGTCCTTATCAGTGTAGATCAGTTTGGATATGAGCCCCCTGCTGCCTTCATTGAAGTTGATGTATTTTCAAAGTGTTCCTTTAATTAGATTTAATTTAATTTTTTTATTTTTGTATTTAGAAGCTTATGTAGCCAGTGTAACAGGGTCTTTTTTGTATTTCCCAGCACTCTATAATGGGAATATAACTCTTCATATCACTTTTTAGGCGGAGGAACCAGGGATACCTGCGTCGGTAGAGCTTTGCGTGAAAGCCCTTCAACTTCCAAAACAGGATGACTCCGAATCGAAGATCTCTGTCTGTAAGACGGTGTCCTGCCTTCTTCCAGACGACCTTGAGGTTCTGCGTGCCTGCCAACTCACAGAATTCCTACTTGGCCCTGTTCAGGAAGCCTTCAGCTGTCTTGAGGAGCTCTACTTGCGCCCAGACCAAAAGTATGACCAGGACAGTGAGGTTATTCCCAACTCACTACGCTGTGAGTTGCTACTAGCACTGAAAGCTTACTGGCCTTTTGACCCCGAATTCTGGGACTGGAAAACTCTAAAATATCACTGCATCTCCCTTCTGGGGCTGAGGCCTGAGTCAGAAGGGGAAGAGGAAGAGGCCGTTGAGAAGGATAAACTGCATGAGCTGCAGGGAGTCACTGTTAAGGTAGAATCGGTGCACCAAAATGGGATAAATGGAGGTCTTGACGGTCATGAGCAGATAGATCAAAAACAGTCCATTAACCAAACAGACATCAAAGTTGATTCTGAGGCAAAAAAACAGAAGTTCTGCTGTCACATTTGTAAAAGGTCTATCTCAGACACCCAAGTCATTCACCACTCAAAAAGACATGCAGAGGATAACAACCATCCCTGCCCTATTTGCTTGGAAAAGTTTGAGAGTCGGAAGGAACTCGTTCCTCACATTAAAAAACACATTGAGAGTGAAACACATCTTGTCAAAAATCATGCCAAGACTGAGGAAGTACAGAAAACGATAGAAGAAGATGACGACGTTGAACCGGGTGAGATCACCATCGATCCTTCTCTAATGCTGTATTACAAATCCACCCATGATCCAGATGTCTTGCAGCATATTGTGCAGCAAGCCAAAACAGGGACAGAGAAACATGTGGACAGCGACGAGCATGTAACTTTCGATTACATCGACCAACATTTCAAACTGCAGAACAGGGATGAGTATCCCTGTCCAGGAACTGGATGTACACGAACTTTTAAACATTCCAAGTACTTATATGTCCACTTAAAGTCGGAGCACAAAGGTGATGAAAACGTGAAATATTTTCACCAGATGAGAGACAAGCGGGAAAAGTGCGTCTTCTGTAGACGTCATTTTGTCTCAGCTTACCATCATCGCAAACATATAAGAGTTCACTATGGTGATCGGCCTTACACGTGTGTGGTTATAGGCTGTGGTGCGCAGTTTAATACTTCCAATGAACTTGTCACACACAAGCAAACCCATGGCTATCAGCTCAACTACCAGTGTCAGCTCAAAGGCTGTTATGTCACATACTCTGACTTGGGACAGATATATCACCATGAAGCACAGCATTTCAGAGATGCGGCATTTACCTGCTCTAGTACTGACTGTAGAAAGTATTACCTGTCCAAAAAGGAATTTATAAAGCATCTGTCAACACACAACATCCCTTTCTCTGAAGAGGACTTTGAGGCTCAAAGGAAGGCAAAGCGGAAACTTTTTAACACTGTTACTGATGCAGCCATTCGCCTTACTAAGTCAGTTGAATCTGACACTGTAAATGGAGACGTCCTGAATGCTTCGTCAGTGAGTTGCTCCTCCTCCTTGCAGGAATCTGACGTCAAAGAGCCCAAAGCAACAATGACATTGGTGGCTGTGTGTTTTGATGGAAGTAAATTCACTTGTGGCTTTGAGAAGTGTGGCATGACGTTTTCCAGAGCCAGAGATGTCCAGAGACATCTTAAATGTGCTCACCCAGAACATCTCAAACTGGAGAACAAAGAACACAAACATGACAATGAGCAGGGATCCAAGTCCAAATGGATAAAGTCTGAAAGTCAACCGGAGAATGAAGAAAAGGGACAAAACGACCCAACTCCATTTCAACCTGTGGACACTTGCCAAGAAAAAAAAGCTTCCACTCATCCCAAAAGCAGTGAAACAAACTCTTTAAGCCTTCAAACAAAAAACGATGCTCTTAAAGAGATTCTCATTGGGCTCAGTAGATTGGACCTGAATTCCGACAGTTTGCCAAACGAACCCACTCAGTCCAGCGTGGACTCAAACACGTCTCAAATATCTCTTCATCAGGCAATTATGGCAAAGCCCCCTGTTGTCTTGCTTCAGAAGAGACCCCATCTTTCAGAGGAAAAGGTTAAAGTCCTCACTGAACAAGCAACCACTGAGGAAGGTGGCAGTGAATCACTAGCCAGTGCTAAGCCCTATGTTTGTGAGATGAAAAGTTGTGGCTTTAGAACGGCTCAAAGTTACAGCTTACTGCGCCACTATAACACCAGACATGGTCGTACCATTGAACAGGCCAAAAGGTTGACTTCTTTGAAAACCACCTGTTTTAAGCCTTACGTGTGCCACCTTTGTTCCAAGAGCCACAGGGAAAAACACGTGTTGAGGGCCCATTATATTCAGTTCCATAACATGAGTGAGACTTGCGTAGATCAGATTAGTATAACATCTGTACAGCATGAGGGAAACAAAGTGTCCAAATCTAAAAAAAAACTAACATCGCCTTTGACAAACCACGGCCTAAAGGTAAAAAAGAAAGAGCTGCCCAAGTTGCAACACCAACAAGAGACCAAAAACTCAACAGCGATAAGTGAAAATGGAAAAGACTTTCATAATCACTCCCCATCTGAAGAGGAAGGGGAAGATGAGGCAAAGGGTAGAGAGGAAGATGAGCAGAGACAGGAAAGTGAAGATAAGACCACACAGCAAGTCAGAACGACAAGACGCTTGGTAGCCAAAAGTAATCTGTGCTATATACTTGATAAGTTCAGTAAACCTTTTCATTGTGTGGCAAAAAATTGCGATGCAGCTTTTTCCACCCAGGGAGGTCTTGTGCGCCACCTCCAGTTAGTACATCATTACAATCGCTCTCAGCTTTTGTTGGAAAAAGATATTGATGTGCACCACAGTCCAGAAGTGAGAAAAGAACCTGCCAAAAAAAGGCCTCTCCCAAACTCAGATGAACCTCAACCCCAGTTCAAATGTCACTTTGCAAACTGCAATGCTTCCTACCACCTTAAAAGCAGCTTAGTGCGTCACACTCGCGATTACCACTCGCAACCACCTGAGCTATTAAGGTGCAAGTATGACGGCTGCACAAGAGTGTTCAGCCATGACGGTGCGCTTAAAAAACACACTCTTTATAGTCACTGCGAGTTGTACGACTCGCTGGTGGTACGTCTGCAGAGCACTCACAAGAAGTCTATTACCGGGTGTCAAAAGAAGCTTATAGTCACACCAGAGAGTCCTCAGAAAGAGGAACCTGGTTCACCCACCGCACAGGCTGAGAGTCCAAAGCCTGAAGTGACAGCTACGTCAGAACAACTGGGTGATGAGGGTGCTGCGGAGAAAAAGGTCTCAGGAGAGAAAAAGCGAGCGAAAAGAAATTGTTTCAGCCGTTACGTCTTTAGATCTCATGAAGAAGCACTACAGATGTGCCAGGATCGCTGCTTGCGAGTGGCCTACCCATGCATGATTCAGGACTGCGATTCTGTCGTCACATACATGCACAGCTTGAACCGTCACTACCTGAAGGTCCACCACATGCGCCGAGAAGATGTCTTTAAGAATGAAGATAAGCTTGTTTTTACTGCCGAGCAGCTCGAAGAGCTCATTCAAAGGAAGTCCGCCAGACCGACTGTTGCAGGCACGTGCGTCCCTAATGGGGTTCTTAAAATGGAGTACCAAGCAGAGTCGGAAAACGCAGGGGCACAGCCTGCACCCGTGAGTCTTCATTCCATCAAAGGGGACACGCAGGATGAGGACAATCATGATGCACTGAGCTTCCCTGGAGAAGAAGAGCAGGAGCTGCCACCTGTTGAGAGAAATGGTGTCCTTGTTGGTGCAGACGAGGTGCTATATGGTGAGCCGAGCACAGGCGGGCATGCTGAAGACGCTGCTGCAGGAACACCGAGCACTCAGAAACCAGAGGAGAGACTGAGCTTGGATAAAATCAAGCCTCTGCTCCGCCCGGTCACTGTTGACCTCTCACCACCATGTTCACTTCGTTTTACTACTGAAGAGGGCTTCCAAGACGCATCGGGCAACAAAGATGGTAGTAAAACATTAAATGGATCCGTAACGTTGTCTAGTCCTCCCGTTCGCCAGCCCCTGAAAAGGATGAACGAGCTGTCTGAACAGCCTTCAAACGTAAAAGACTCTCAGTCTCGTAGTGCTTCTCCACGGGCTTTTGACATTGCTGGCTATAAGCCTATGGGGTTTGAGTCTTCATTTCTTAAGTTCATACAAGAAACTGCTCCAAAAGACAAAAATACAGGATTAGCAAAACGGCGGGACACTTTCAGACGTAGTTGTTCTGTCAAAGAGAACAACCAGCTAGGAATCTCTCACACCCGCAGCAGACGCACTCATTCCCCACTGCTGAAGCCCCACTCTATGACTGGGGACTTCACGTCAGTCCAAAACTTGAAGTCCATCCTGGACAAAGCCCTGGCTGGGTGTGGGGACCTGGCCATTAAACAGCTTCAGTACCTCAGACCCGTGGTGGTCCTGGGCAGACCCGTGTGCACCACCGCCCTGCCTGACCTCTTCCCCACAGACACCAACAACAGCAAACTGCTTCTTGGAAGTTAGTTTAACCGAGCACCTTTTTAACATGGCTATGGTAAATGACTTTTTAGTTTCACAGCTGTGTATCAGTATTTTTATTTCTCCCAACCATGACAACGCTGTTATGTTTTTGCTATTTTTAAGTTGCCAAACTGAACAGTTGTAGTAATTAGCATAAAATTAAAAAAACAAGCTTAAACACTGCACACTAGATCCAGCTGATTGTTTGGGTTTTTTAGACATCTGTAATGAAGCATTCAGATAACACCTATTATGTTAAATCATGGTCACAAGTGTATATACTGTAGTTCTCTGAGATAAATGTACAGCTTTTCAGATTGTTAGAAATGGTCAGTAGCGAATTGCAAGGCCTTTTCACTTTTGTGAAAATGTGACTGAAAATATTTCCTTACTACAAAGTCCTTGAAGGAATACATTTGGTTATTTTTCACCTCAGTTTATAATAAGTCAGTGTTGGGTTGCAGTGGACAGGTGTTGGCCAACATGTATGTAACACTTTCTAATAAAATAAATGTGGAAATGAATTTACAGTCTTGACTCTCTGGATTGTTTATTAATTTGTTAAATTTCCATGTATGATTACTAATTTTCTTATTTCTTGGTAAATGTTATTGTCTTCCCTCAGATTAAAACTGTTAATTGAAAAGGTAGGCTTAGCGCTTTACATTATTTTATGGATCAGGCAAAGACGGACATCGTTTATAGTCCCAGACTCCTAAAGTCCAAAAAATCCAGAGTTAGCTGTGCAACACTTCTTTGGGATTACTTTTCAGTGAATTACAGTATTCGCTCATGAGAAGTATTCAGGAGGCCCTGCCGGAAGGTCTGTCAGAATCCAGTTTGCCTGGCACACGTGTGGTTAAAATTTGCAGATGCGACACTGCAAATAAACAGATTCTGTGCACGGGAAGGGATGAGTGCAGCTGTATGGTTTTAGTATTTAAGATTTTACATGTCTAAAGCGTTTTTAATTAAAGGTAAATTATTAGGAATTTAAATCCATATTTATATAGATATGAAAAGCCACATTAATATATACACTTTAAATGTGTGCGTACTTTGTACTGAATAAAATGGGTGTGGTACAGGACCCGACACGTTTCCTGTTGTGTTGAAGTAAAAACCGTTATTTTATGGGTGGTGATTGCATGTAAATAATCAGAATGAACCGAGAAGAGGAATTAAGTAGAAAAAGTCAACAACATTTCCTGCGCTGCCACGTCTGTTTAGCTATCATGCTCATGGGATAAATGGGCCACTACCGCCAGCAATAAACGTGTAGTTCTAGTGCTTTAAAAAAAAAAAAGAAGAATACTCTAAAACCTTAAATTATGCTTTATTAGGAGTTTAAATAATTTGAATATACATTTGCATTCGTAGTTGCATTGTACACAAATATTTGTGTAGAATATTTATTAATGGGGGTTGAAATAAAGGTGTTCGAAATACAAAAATTTGAACTCTTTAGTGAGTCAGTCAAATTATGAAAATCCACTGCGGAACCAAGTTATAGAAGACGTTCCTTTGGGTGCCGAATTCGTTGATACGCATAACCAACGGGCTCGGTAGTTGAGATGAATGGAATGATGTTAGTTGTAAAAGCCTAGACTTTTCTTAGGAATGAAAACTGAATGCAAAGATCTAAACTTTAGTCTGTATCTGTCTATTTGACGGAGGGGCATATTTCCCATAATTCACGTTTAAAGTGCTGTCTGTCAGTGAGTGTGTGTAGAGCGGAAGCTAATTAGCTGCTAGCCTGCTTAGCTAACTGCTCTAGTAGCACAGAGCAAAGATGGTTGAAACTATATTTGACCTGCCGGTGGAAAAGCAGATATTTTACGCTGTCCTAGGGTTTTCATGGACAGTATACCTTTGGGAGGCATATCTTTCTTACAGACAGGTGAGTCAATTGTTTATCAAGATTAAATCCCTTTGCTTTATAATAAAAGCAGAGCGTAAATCAACGAACCGCTGACAGTGGTTAAAACGTTTGATTTTAATCTCCCGTGGACTCACTATGAGCTGTGTCTTTCGTAAAGTCTGCGTTTAATATAGGATATTCTGACAGTTGAATATGTGATGCGACCAAGGGGTCTGTTTAGCAGGGTTAGATTTTTTTGCTATTTAGTATTCTAGATATTTAGTTTCATAACACAACAGCGTAAGATTTCTTAACACGCAACCACAAAGCTATGAGTCGGGCCCATTATCAGCTTGCTGGAAATGTTTACGGGTCTATTTCACGCCCAGACACGTGGATGTGAAATATGAAGCTATTTGAATCCTATTAAAACATATTTTTTTATTCACTTCAGTTAAGTCACATTGAAAAGTATCTCACGACAGTGTTGGGGTGGGTGTAGTTCCTCTAGGAACAGGAACTGATGTAGCAAATAATACAGAGAACGTCTTTAACCCAGAATATTATCACGTAGTCTTGATATGCTAGTACACACATGGGAACAGTGCAGAAAGCAACTTTTATGAGAATATGGAGAGGGATTCACACGACTATCAGACACAATTGGCCTTCCTGTAAATCATTAGATTCATGGCAGTAGGCAATGTTTACTTGTTCTGTGAAATTTCTTTAGTTCAAATATAGTAATTAAGAGCTAAAAGACGTCAAAGCAGATTTTGGTATCCCTAGTATAAAAAAACCCCACAAAAATTATTGGCCTCACCTACCAGCTCAAAGGTCGAATTGTTGCAAAATCGTTCACATGTTTGTATAGTATATACTCAACAGGTTAGATAGATGCTCTTTGAAACACATATTTAAAGGAAAACATCAAATTGGATTAGTATTGATTATATTATGTGATACTTGTCAAGTTTTGAGTTTAACACTTAAAAAATACACATCTGAAATATGTAACTTGGACAGTTACACTGACAGCATTGGATCCCTACATCAGTACCTTGATGATTTTCACTATTAATGTAACTTTATGCACACGTCTTTCTACACTGCAGAGGAGGATATATAGAACAACAACCCATGTACCGCAGGAGCTGGGCAAGATCATGGATTCTGAAACATTTGAGAAGTCACGTCTTTACCAGCTGGATAAAAGCAACTTCAGCTTTTGGTCTGGACTCTATTCTGAGACTGAGGGGACGGTAAGATCATTTAACTAAAAGACACCGTTGTTTTTTGAGTTGATAGTCTTCCTCATATTGAAATGTTCTTTTATCACAAGTGTAGTAGCTGTGGACTTGTTGACATAAGTGAAAGTCACAAAGTGTCTTCTTGACCTGCAGGACTTTAAATGGACTCGACAAAGTATTAATACAATATTAGTGAAAAGAGTGTGCTTTCTTTTTTCTTTTTGTTATTTTGTTTGTTTGATATTTAAGATTAGCCTAGTCTAACTCATTCTGTATGCCACACATTTTAAAATATTGTGCTCAAAACGGTTTTAGCTGATTCTGCTACTGGGTGGAATACCATTTCTGTGGGCTGTCGCCGGTTCTGTGACTGCTCGCTTTGGATTTGGTCCAGAATACGAGATCACCCAGTCCCTCGTGTTTCTGACGCTTGCTACCCTATTCAGTGCTATAACTGGACTCCCCTGGAGTTTGTACAACACTTTCGTCATTGAGGAGAAGCACGGCTTTAATCAGCAGGTACACTGGCTGGAATGCACTCACTGTTTGTTGCCGAGACTAACTTGAGTTTGATTGGATTGAAGTTACCACAGTTGATGGGCTCCAGAGCTCATATTGAAGCTGTGTTTTTATGTTGTTTAATGTCAAAAACACAAACGATTTAAAATGTAATAAGAACTTTGATGGACTGAAGTTTTTGACTGTGAAATTTTGTCTGTTTAAACCCAAAATGAATTCAAAGACTGGAGAATCTGTGAAGAAGTAAAAAGAAATCAGAAGTCTAACACACTGTATTAATCTCCTGTTTACTCTGTTCTCTTTTAATGTCTGCTCTTCCTCTCAGACGTTGGGGTTTTTCCTCAAAGATGCCGTGAAGAAGTTTGCTGTCACTCAGTGTATCCTGCTTCCTGTGACCTCCCTGCTGCTGTACATCATAAAGATTGGCGGAGACTACTTCTTCATTTATGCTTGGCTCTTTACCCTGGTCGTTTCTCTGGTTAGTGGCGCATTCACCTCGCTCTGTGAAAACGTTGAAAATGCATCACTGTGTATTAAGAAAACAGGTTTCTTGTCAGATAACTAGTGAGAAACTCAAAAGAAGTACATAGTTGATACTACACCTGTAATACATCCTGTCATCTCTGTCTTCTAAGGTACTTGTAACCATCTATGCTGATTACATTGCTCCCCTGTTTGACAAATTCACACCATTGCCAGATGGAGAGTTAAAGACAGATATCGAAGCCATGGCCAAGAGCATAAGCTTCCCCCTCACCAAAATTTACGTAGTTGAAGGTATGTCTTGAATGTGTCTTTTTAGTTATCATTCCCACTGTCACAGAGTGTTTGCTCATTGTGGGTCGTTTGTTGGGGATTTCTCTCTGTTGTTCTAGAGTCTTTTCCTTACATTATTAAGCCCCTTGAGGCAACTTATTACATTATTATTACATTGCAATCATTAGTATGTTCTTTTTACATTGTGGAGCGATGGTTAGTTGGAGATCCATGAATTTTTGTCTTGTTTCCAGGTTCTAAACGTTCTTCACACAGCAATGCATACTTCTACGGGTTCTTCAAGAACAAACGCATTGTGCTATTTGACACACTGCTGGAGGATTACTCACCTCTCAACAAGGCTGGAGAGTCACAGCCTGAGCAGCCAGAGAGTGATGAGACATCCAGCGAGTCTAAAGCCAAGCCCAAGGTTGCAAAGAATTTCACTTGATTCATAAAAACTCTTTTAAAGACAGAGTATTCTTACTTGTCTTGAAACACACTTTGGTTGATTTTTGCTTGATAACAACTGGTCTGAGAGCTTGAAAGATTTTATTTTTTTGGTCATTAAGCTCTGTTTTGCTTTTAAAACCCTTTAATAAAGGATTGGGAAAAGCCCCAAGTATTAGATGTATTAATGTTTAGGCTTGATGTTGTTGGAAATTTTAAGTGACTGATTTTGAATCTTCTGTCACAGAACAAAAAACAAGGATGCAACAACCCAGAGATCCTTGCTGTTTTGGGTCATGAGCTTGGCCATTGGAAGCTCGGTCATACCGTCAAGAATATCGTCATTAGTCAGGTGATTTCTCCCAGATGGATGTCTTTTGTTTTATCCCAAAACATATAAAAGCCTGATTAGATCATACTACAGACATTCAGAGATTGAACTGAATCTATTTTTATCTCTTCAGATGAATTCCTTCCTGTGCTTCTCCTTATTTGCTGTTCTGATTGGACGTAAGGAGCTGTTTGTAGCTTTTGGCTTTGATGACAGCCAGCCCACATTAATAGGCTTGATGATTATCTTCCAGTTCATCTTTTCTCCTTACAACGAGGTATGTGTGAGATCATGAAACTTTGAATAATTAAATCCTGTTGTTTTGAGATGTTTAAATATTTCTCTTCTTCCTCGCTTTTGTAGGTTCTGTCTTTCTGTCTGACGGTCCTGAGTCGCAGGTTTGAGTTCCAGGCAGATGCTTTTGCTCGCGGCATGGGCAAAGCCTCAGAGCTTTACTCGGCTCTCATCAAGCTGAACAAAGACAACCTGGGCTTCCCTGTGGCTGATTGGTTGTTTTCCATGTGGCACTATTCCCACCCTCCTCTCCTTGAGCGCCTCAGAGCACTGGGCAACACCAAGCAAGACTGACGGGGCTGGAAGGGGGAGCGGCGACCGCCGCCTCCTCCGAAGGGCCTCCGCAGACCGCTCCTGACCCTGTGATGCACCCTGGTCTTTTTCCTTCCCTTCTGCCCCCCCTTAGCAAATTTTATCTTATTTTACCCTTTTCTTCACTTACCATACTTTTTTTTTCTCTTCTTTGAAAGTTAGTTTTAAACAAAACCAAAACATATCAGCACAAGGCAACCATAAAAAAAATCTAAGCCTGTACTGTTCTTTTTCTTTTATTCAGAAAAACCATTTACACACTTGCTGTGTGTGATAGATCTGGACAACGTGTAAAGAAAAAAGCAATTGTCAGAGCACATATCAGATTTCTCAGATTGCACTCATAGATTTGTTTTTAGAAATCCTTTTATTTTTGTACAATTCATTCAGTACATCGTTCTTTTTCCCTTCTAAGTATGAAGCTCAATTGAAATTGACAAGTTATTTGGCTGTTAAATGTTAAGTTGTTTTTTTTTATATTAATTTAAGATGATTAGTCATACAGTATATTTACTCATTACAATGCTTTTTACAGATGCACGGGCCAGATTGATTTGTACAGCAAGTGCAACATTTATTGTCAAGTTCAAGTGAATATTCATGAGTCTACTCATCAATTCAGTGCTTTTTTTTATTTAAAGAGAAACTCTGTAGATTCTTTGTCACAGTGACAAAATGCGAGTGCCTCTAATTCTCCTCTTTGTACCCATAATGAACACCTAGTGAACAGAGCGGTGCGAAATGTTTCGTTTGAACATTACATTAGACGTGGTATTTTTGTTTTTTTTACATGCAATGAGGGGCTGCTGTTTTAATTTTCTTAAGCACCTGCTTGTCATGAAGGGTCCAACCATACCTGTACATATGTAACTTTGGTGATTAGAGTAATGATATATGGAGTGAATTGTTGAAAAAAAAATGTTGAATGTGATTTGAATTTTTAAGTTCATGTAGAGTTTCATAGTTTTTGTTTTGTTTTTCTCTTTGTTTCATGCCAGCGATACCTGGTAAGCGAAGTATTTATAGGGGACTTATGGGAGGGAGATGGCAAGATTTCACCACGTGAGCCAGAGTTTGGTTTGCTCAGAGAGGGGGTGTATGCTTTCTTTGCAGTGTTGAATAAAATCTTCTAAGCATTTATCTTATTTGGGGTGCTTGTTTTACTTAGAAAAAATGTTGTGAAAATCACACAAAAGATAAGATTTACATCCAGTGATGACTTTGGAATATATTTTTAATTTTATATACATATATACACACACAAAAAAAATGCTCACTGGACACTTAATTAGGCACACCTTCCTAGTAGCTGGTTGGACCCCTTTTATGCCTTCAAAACTGCCTTAATTCATATAGATAGATTCTCTGTATGAATTGAGGCATTTTACACCATATCTGTAATGCATAGATTCAACAAAATGCTGGAAACATTCCTGAGATTTTGACTTCATAATTATATAATGGCATCACACAGTTCCTGGACATCCATGAAGCAAATCTCTTGTTCCACCAAATCCCAAAGATGCTTTATTGGATTGAGACCTGGAGACTGTGGAGGTCATGTGAGTACAGAGATGTTCTGATCTTTGGCTAGAAGGATGCCAAGAAAATATCCCCTGCACCACCAACACCAGAACCATTAATGCAAGGCAAGATGGACCCATGCTTTCATGCTGTTTTACAAATGCTGACCCTAACATATGAATATGACAGCAAAAGGTAAGTCTCATCAGATGAGGGAAAATGTTTTTCCAATTTTTTTCTTTTTTTCCCAACTTTGGTAAACCTCTGAGATTTGTAGCTTCAGTTTCCTTAGCTAACAGGAGTGGCACCTCATGTGGTTTTCTGCTGCTGTAGCCCATCTGGTTCACGGTTTGGCATGTACATTCATGTATTTGAATTACTGTTGCCTTCCTACAATCTCTGTAAACTCTAGAGATGGTTGTGTGGGAAATTCCCAATGGATCAGCAGATTTTGAAGTACTTATAAAAATCATGCTATGGTCAAAGTTAATTAAATACCCTTTCTTCCCCATCCTGATGCTCAGCTTAAAAATAAATTGATGTTTTATAAACTTATTTCTTTAGATAAAAAAATACGGTGTACTAAAATATAAATTAAAAAATCCCAATTCACAAGTTATTTAATTAAGCTATGTAAAAAAGTAGAAATAACCATTGTTATTGTTGATTTTGTTTTTTTGTTTAAAAAAACATTTTAAACCCCTTTTTGTCCACTAGCTGTGGATGTATATAGTATTTAAATTAATTTAAAAATGCATTTAAAAAAAATCACACATCGTGTTGCGTTATTGGTATGTAGCATAACAAAAAATTATAAGGTCAGCTGCTACGTAAAGAGCGGCAGCGCGGTGTCCATTTTTAAGACCATACCACTGCGGGAATTAAACACTGTGTTTTTCCTGCAGTATGTTATTATTCCATGTTATGTATATGAAATATATTTAGCAGAGAAATTGAAATAATACATCATCATATGAATAGATTTTTTTTTAATGTATTATCTAATTGAATAACGTATCTCCTGTTGGCACCCCCGCCTTGGACATAATGGCGGCGTCCTGTGGTGTATTTTTGTGGACAAGGACAAGCTCGACACTACTTGTCAGTGGTGTTTTCATAAACATGGCGAGGTTTTTGAGGCCTAATATCAGGACTTTTGTCACCTCACAGCTAAGAATGTCATCCGACCAGGTAATAAACGTCCTGCAACCGCCTCACTTCATTACAAACACCGTGTAACCGTTATACAGCGGTGTGACATGTTTAGTCTCATCATTTTTGCTAGCTGAAAACCTTAATGACAGGTTCACCTGCTGTAGCACTGTGGTATTAGCTTTCTAATTGAACATTATTACCTAATAATTATAGGTTATATATGCCAAGGGGGTTCATTTTGTATGCACTGCCACCTGTCAGACTATTCAGAAAATGAATTTGGTTTTGTGAGCTGCTTTGTCCTCTCAGACGTTTAGGTTTTGCTCAAAAAGCGTTTCTGGTCTGTTCAAGATATCTCCATTATCACCTTGGAAACAAAGAAGCCTTTTAACCCGTTAAAAAAATATAAAACCTTGACCTTCAACGTGGGCTTGTTTTCACAGCGTCCAGTAGATTCACCTTAATATCACACAGAAAGCCCTGATCACTAAAGTTGAGAAAGAAAGTAACTTTAAGAAATGTTAAATTTTAAGCTGCCATCTGTTAAAGAAATGTCTTTATAGAAAATACTCAGAGCTCTATTTTTTATTTATGCATTCATTATTGGGTTTTGGGGTTTGTTTATTTTTTGCTTGTTGCTGAGTTAATTCACTAAACTTGTTTTTCTCTTAAATACTTCCCCACCCACTCAGCTGGGTGAGCTGGGTAAAGGTGCCGGGAAAGGTGGTGGTGGTGGAGGCTCTATCAGAGAGGCAGGTGGATCCATGGGGAAGAAGCAGGCTGCAGAGGAGGAGATGTACTTCAAGTATGAAATTCAACTTACAAAGACAGTTTTTTGTCCACTTTTTCCACCTCTTCCACATGAAAATAAGCCTGCGTGATATCTGTCTTTCTTCATATAAGGCGCAAGGAGAAGGAGCAGCTGGCAGCACTAAAGCAGCACCATGAGGACGAAATTGATCACCACAAAAAGGAGATTGAACGTCTCCAGCGCGAGATTGACCGCCACAAGGGAAAGATCAGAAAGCTGAAGCATGACGACTGAGTGAAGCCTTTAAAATAAAACAAAAGTTTTGTTTTTTTTCTCCCCACTGTCCAAGTCTCCTTTAGTAACCACACTAGTTTCTGCTTGCACTGTGTTATGCCAGTCATGAATGTTTGAGTGATGGTACTTATGTAAATTCTTGAAAGGTATTAAAATTGATTAAAAGAGATGAGTACGGGTTCCATGGCATGCTCTCCAAGAACATTTTCCTGTGTGATGTTGTTCATTGGTGTGCTGTATGTCACAGGCAAAATGCCAAAGTGAAAAAAACTAAATATAATCTGTGCTTCATGCTACTGTTTTATTTCAGTGAACAGTTTGTGAACTTGTGAGAAACATTGTTTTCAATGAGCAACAATAGGCAGCAAATCAAGTGATAAAATTGACTAAGCTGCAACCAGCACACCTTTAATGTGAGATATAAAAATGGTAAAAAAAAAAAAAAAAAAGATAATTAAAGTTATCTGGCACCACAAATATGTGACCGGGTCAATATTTGTTTCAAACTGCTCCTTAAAACCATCTTGATCTGAAGTAAGGTAATATAAATTTCATACTATTAAGATCTTTAAAAGTATTTAACACCTTTATGATTTCTTTTTTGTTTGTTTGCTTTTTGCATATTTGTCAGATCATAAAAAAATGTAATATTAGACAAAGATAACAGGAGTAAATGCAGTTTTTGCCGCTCATCTGGAAAAGGCAGAGGGGGTATTTTCACCCCACCAGGTGGGTGGGTGGCTGGGGGTCGTGGATGTCTAAGTTTGAGAATGCGAGAATCAGACAATGTAGGAGCTTCTAATTGATACCATAAATGTCTGTGACCTACACCTCAAGGTCAAGTTCATAGGTCACGTTTTCCAAAGATCCTGTGAATGTGATAACTCAAGAAGGAAACTACCTAGGATATTCAAATTGATATCATATGTACATCTACTGAGTTTTCAAGATTGAAAGGACTTTAACTAGGCCACTTTACCACTTATTTTTTTCTCCCTCCCCCTTTAGAAGTGGACACTGGTGCAATTTGGATCATTGTCCTGTTGCCTAACCTAAGTGTGCTTGAGCTTCAGGGCACCAACTGATGATGGAACATTCTCATTCAGCATTTTCTGGTAGAGAGCAGAATTACAACAAGTTGTCCAGGTCCTGGAGCAGCTAAGCAAAACTGCGATTGCTATATAATTAATATATAATTATATAGCATATAATACATAATAGTACATAATTTATAATATTGAACTTAATTCGCCCAGCAGTGGCGCTATTTTTTCATAGCCTGTGAGCCACGAGAATGCAAGAAGCTGTCGTCACTTCCGCCCACCCCTGCCTTTTACCACGAGCAACCCCGTTTGTCTTTCTTTTCGCACATCATGGCGGACCGGTTCAATAAGGTGGGAAGCTGCTCTGGAGATATTATATTATTTTTCAGCTCTATAGGCAAAATAAAACCTTGTGTTTTGCAGTTAAGCGACTGGCGATAACTTGGGACAGCTTTGTGTAGTCGTTGTTTTGCTCAGTGTTTTTTCTGAGACCTATTTTTAGGGAATGTCTGAGGCAGCTCGCTATAGCCGAGTGAGCGTGCCTTCATCATGGCAGCTTCCCTGAGTCAACGCTGTTAGCTTGCGAGGCTATGTTTAACGTGTGTACTGGATGTATGGTCGTATGGGAAACGTACCGGCAAACTTAACTAAATTTAATGGGTGGTATTTCGTTGCTTCTATGTAGGGAACCTTTCGTGACATTTCAACTCAAAAAATACAAGGTTAATCGTCAGCGCGGTTTCGTTTAGATGCTAAGCAAACGTTATGTCTCAACCGGCAAGTCAATAGTGTCCCATGTGCCATTTATCACAGTGACGTGGAGGCAGAAATACAGTTCAGTTCACAGTAAACCCCTTTAATAAACAGTGATGGGGTTAAATGCGTTTGATTATCGTTTAACTTGTATGTTAGTGCAAGGCTGATAATGTGACGATTGTCAAGTAGAAAGTAAATGCAAGTTGATTAACATTACCATACAAGATTATAGGGCAATTACTAGGATGCTTTTTCATGGTGAGGATAAAGCATTGTTATCCTTTTTCCCCACCTTTTATTTTAGGTTCTGCTGCTTGATGGCAGGGGCCATCTGCTCGGCCGACTTGCTGCCATTGTGGCTAAACAGGTTCTTCTGGGTAAGTTTTCAGAGATTAATATGAATTTTTGGTAATAAACAATATAAATGTTTGATAATAAACAATTTAAATTAAGTATACACTGTGCGATTTTTGGACTGTCCTAGTCAAGATATTCTAATTTAGCTGTTGTATCACGCAGCACATCTCATAATGAGACTGCTGCTGTACCTGCTGACCATTCAGTAGGAATGCAGTGCAAACTAACCTGAAATAGCTGAGCCATTGTGGGGTGCTGTTGGAGGTAAACTGCAAAATAAGGTGATTTGGATTGTAACACATAATCTAGTCTAGTTTTACACACCTGAACTGTGGACAGTGTCAGTGGTATTGTTTCTGGAAATACTCATGACATGATGTCCACTTGCTCTGGGAATTCTCTAGTTACTGGCTCTTTAGTTACATAGCATCAGTTAGGAATTATACGGTTATTCGAGCACTAGAAGGATGAGTATTTGATTTCCATTACAAAAAATTTGATATTTGTGTCCTCATGTGTAGTTCAGCTGGGTAATGTCTTTAAAAAAACACTTGCATTTTGTATGTGAAAAATGACTGTTTATGCAAAAGTCCTGCAGAGAGCATTGTATGCTCTTTCTACACATGCTCCAGATGCAATCACACAAAACATGCAGACACACAGATGGCTACAAAGACCGACCTATGCCACGATGAAACTCTACCTTTAACTTCCAGACTTGTGTCAGATCCATGTCGCACAGTGTGTTTTGCAGCATGTAAGACTGATGAACAATGTATTCATAGTTGCCTGTTGTTGTGTCATTCTGTCGATGATGATTGTATTAACTGCCTTGGTTGAGTTTAACGACAATGAGAAAACTCACATGCACTACCATCTGAGACAGGAAACAAACAGTATCTGCACCTGTTTGCTACTCTCTTTAACTGTTGAGATTAACTGTTGGCATTTTGTCTTTTAGGCCACAAAGTGGTGGTGGTGAGATGTGAAGGCATCAACATCTCTGGCAACTTCTACCGTAACAAGCGTAAGTAGGGTTCTGTCCCATTTTCAGTCCTTTAAAAATGCTCGTTGTCGGTGATGTTTTACTAGTTTGAGTTTCACAGACCATGAGAAAACCTTACATGCACTACCATCTGAGGCATCAGCATTACTTAATAAAGCAATGGTTTCCCCTTGCATGTATCTTGATGTATGTGTAATGTGGCTAATGTATATCTCTTCTGGATCATGTGCCTGTTTGCAGTGAAGTACCTGGCTTTCCTGCGCAAGAGGATGAACACCAACCCCTCTCGTGGTCCGTACCACTTCAGGGCTCCCAGCAAGATCTTCTGGAGGACTGTTAGAGGTGAGTAAGTGACACTACCGGCACATGAAGGGGTCTATTTGCATTCATCTATGATACTTGCTTAGCACAGTAAAGCTGTTTATAGTAAAGCTAATGATCTATTGATGAAGCAGGCTTCAGACATCTGACTTTTTTTTCGTTTTGGCTTTTTTTGAATTGGTTCTTGGGTTTTTTTTTTTTTTTTTAAAGCACAATCTCTCTTTAAACAGGTATGCTGCCTCACAAAACCAAGAGAGGTCAGGCTGCTCTGGAGAGGCTGAAGGTGTTTGATGGTATCCCCCCACCCTATGACAAGGTATGCTGGTAATTTCTTTCCTTAATTTTTACGGCCCCCACAAGTGGCTTTGACTGCTGTCTGTGATGCCATGCATCTTAACTGCCTTGTCTGAATAGTAACCATGAAAAGAAATGATGTCTGAGACACGCTGCCTATAACAGTTCAGATGTGCTGTTGTCTTCGTTATCTGAATTTGCTTTATTTGATTTACAGAGGAAGCGCATGGTTGTCCCAGCTGCTCTTAAAGTTGTGCGTCTGAAGCCCTCTCGCAAGGTGAGCCTACAGTGTTGTTTTTTGTTAAGGAAAGAAAATGAAGAGTGACAATAAGGTTACTCCATTTACTATTATTTTGCTGTAAATTTTGAATTTGGCAGGCACAACCATTTAGTTTGTGTAACATTGTTCTCTTCAGTTTGTGAACTGTTGATTTCATATGGTTTTTCATTTCTCCCTCAGTTCGCCCTCCTTGGGCGTCTGGCACATGAGGTTGGCTGGAAGTACCAGGCTATCACAGCCACTCTGGAGGAGAAGAGAAAGGAGAAGTCTAAGCTCCGCTACACCAAGAAAAAGACACTGATCAATCTGACCAAGCAGGCAGAAAAGAACGTCGAGTCCAAGATTGCAAAATACACAGATGTTCTGAAACAATATGGAGTTATTGTCTGAGCTAAACTCATCTGGCCAATAAAGATGAATACATGTTTATAAAATGTGTCATGACTATTTTATTTCGCATTAAAGTAAACTGCATTTACTACAACATGAATATGTTTAAGACGAAGACACTGCTGTGAGTGCAGCTTCTCTTTAAAAATTGTGTGTAGGCAGTTGTATTAGTAGCTATCACAAGAAGGTAGCATTTGTGCATTCATGATTATATTTACTTGGTATATAAAAAGTATCACTCAGACTTTTGAGAGGGTTTTAAAAATTTTTTGTCAGGAAGCATCACAAATGTAGAGATGTTCTTCAAAAACAAAAGTTTATGGTGCAGAGCTACGTGTAATCTAAGCCAGGAAAAGCACATTGGAGTTGCTTATTTTTCTTACATGATATTGCATAATGTGTAAAATAAAAACGTATAATAGGGTTAGTAAACATAATGAATTGGATGTTTGGAGTGAGTATTACATTTTAATTTTAATTTCACAAAATTTGCCATCTGACCCACCAGTTTTTGAATTGTATAACAATTTGCTGCAACTGTAGAGAAATAATTTTTTTTTAAAAAAACTGACAAATACAATTTATACATGTGGGAACTTCTCATTGGAACCAAGCTTAACTACCAGCAGAGGGCAGTGTTGTACTGCGACACTTCCAAGCGTTACAGTTAACTAAACATTTAGCGTTTTAGTTAAAGTAGTGTTCATATAACTGTAATAATGTTAAAGTATTAAAGTATTATTCTCTAGAAACCGCTGGATCATTTTATTTAGGACATAATCATACTGAGACTGGTTTTACTTATTCTTTAAAGTAGGCTACAGGTTATCGTGTGCAGCTTAAAATTACACTGAAGATTTGAACTGAAACAACTGAATCTCCTTGAATAGCTGACTTCTGCTCTCTGCTCTACTTAAGACAGGACCAGCTCTGAGGTTAAAAATAACCAGGTGAGTGTTTTAAAGCATTAAAAATCCCTTGTCCTCTAAAGATTTAATATATAAAAGCAACACTTTTGCTTCCAGTGAAATGAAAGCACCTGTTCAGAGATGGTTGACAGACACTGTCGACCTGTTTTCTCAGTCATCTGATTAAGTGAATTACTTAATAACCCCATCTTTTGCATGGTGGGATTCTGCAATCATATGTTCAGATTATTTAAGCATTCTGTTCTGACTGTTGATGATAACTTAAATCAGCAAAGGATTTGGCTGCAGGTTCACCCACATTTATAAATTAACCCCCTTTTTCCCCACTATTGAGGCTTGAAATAAGAGAAAATTTAGAGTTTTTTTTTTTCTTACATGGTTTCATCTGAAGGAGTTTTACACCCAATAAGACACAAAAGAGAACCAATCTTTCATAAGAAATAAAGGCAATTAATCATCTTCCAGGGTAGCTCAGTCATCAGATTTATATTGGGCTCATTACAGGAGCTCAATCATCATTTATTAATGATAATTTTATGTTCAACTGCTGTCTGAGTGTGGCTATCATCTGCTCTGTGTTTGAATTTGTCCAGTTTTTATGATATTGTCTATTAATTCTCTCTCCCTCTCCCTCTCTCTATCTATCTATCTGCCTGCCTGCCTGTCAGTCAGTCAGTCAGTCAGTCAGTCAGTCAGTAATGTAGCGAGACAGACAGATATATGTCACATTCACATGAGGGAAAGCTGGTCAGGATGTTCAGGAATAACCCAGGAACAAGGGAACAATATAAATGAAACGGCTGGAAGAGCAGCGTCAGTATCCAAAGTGAAGCAAGTCTTACATTACCACAGACTGAGACGATGCCAACTAAGAAAGGCTATGTTTAAATGTGTAAAGGTAAGACTTTCAAACCTAACACTGTACCAACTGTCAAGCATGGTGGTAGCATCATGCTCTCTGGGTCTTTTCCTGCTTAACTATTAGATTGCTGTATTAGCTAGTGGTTTTACACCCTTACAGTGATGGTAGATGTTAGATCTTGTAAGACTTTTTCTAACGTTGCTGTGTTTATCCATGAAGTGATCTGACTCAATTCAAAGATTGTTTGTACAGCTATGATATCACACATCTAGAATTCAATTCATTTGCCTAAAAATAGAGAAAACACATAAAAAAGTTATAAAAAGTTAAATGGCAATTTCACCAATTTGATTGTTTCTCTGGTTTTCTCTTGATATCATAAAAATATCAATAATATTGTTATTTTTAATAAAATATGGTATTGTGACATTCTGTTGTGGTGACTTGGTATATGTTGGTGAACTTAAGTTGCTTTTTTCATGGTGTATGGAAATGCTCGTTGAGTTGCCTGTTTTTCTACGTCGCCCTAGCTGCTTTAAACTCACAGTGCATTGTGGGAGTTTTCTTTGACTTCTTTTTAAGGTAATAACCCAGATTCTCAGGTCACCTCTTCTCTTTTTCTGTCTGTGCTCTTTGCACTTTAATCTTATTATAGCACAACGGAACATGTGTGGTGACAAATCTGTTATACTAAAGCAGGACAGTACCATGTAGCTCCTGTCTTACTTCCTCTGGTTAGATTCCCAAGAATATCCTTTAGCAAAAAACCTCTGCATGCACCTGCCTTGGGTTTTTATTCAAGTACTTTGTAGTATGTTAAAATGATTAGTTGTGCATGTTTTGGCAATGCATTCGAGTCTTATAGTATTTCCTGATTTTACATGATTGTGACTGTGCTGAAAATACTGCTTAACCCCCTGATTAAAGTATATAGTCCATGAAGGAAAAGCTGATAACACCACCCTTTCTATGTTGGCCTATCCTGTCTACTTATAGATATCCACATACTAAAAGCACACATGCCTTCTATAAAAGCTCACCCACTGAGGATCAGGCAGGAGGCCAATCTGCTGCCTGTCTACCTGCGTTAAGGAGGGACGTTATGTCTCCACCAACAGATGGAGAAATTACTGTGACGGCTTCAAAAAATGAGATATTTTGCGATGCTGCCAGCAGCAGATCACTCTCTAATCACACCATCTGAAACAGATTGAAGAGACCATGATTGTCTGAAACTGCTCCTGCAAGCCAAGCCTATTATGGGTTCCAACATTTATAGACAATGCCCTACCCTCATCCAAAAAGAAGGTGCTTCAACTGTGGAGCTACTATAAGGAAAACAAACAAAGTTCAGCTTAAATTTAAACTCTTCTCACGTTTTCAGAATAACATGTTTCTGGTTTTGAAACAAAACCTTATTGAAGCTTTAGTTTGACTTCATAAAGAACGTGAGCACTAACTTATTTGACTGGTCTTATTGGAGCAACACACCTGAGAAATTACAACACGGTCACCGTATATTGGTAACGTTTGCCTACGGTGTGCATTAAACTCACACACTGTGTGAGTAATGAGAGCGATAAAAGACCTTTTCCCACATGCCAGCGTGAGATGATTAGTTTAAGCTTCTATTTGATGTTTTAGTAATGTCTTATTTCTACAGAGTCAGTCTCAAGCTTCTACTGCTGAATCCTTTTTCAACCAAAGATAGCTTTAAATCAGATTAGCTAAGAGGAGCACTTCTGGGTCACAGTGTGAATAACATATCTAATTTATTCCTGATGAAAACATTTTTTTTGTATGTGGGTATGTGGATCCACACAGAAGTGCTCCAGAGGGAAGATGTCCTCTTTGAACCATCCGGTGAAAGGTTTTGCCGTCTCTGTTGAGGTCACCCTTGGACAACTTCTCAGTAGTTACTTTGAGAAAAAGATAAAGAGCAAAAGGAAAAGATGGAGATGTTGTTTGGTGAGATGGTGAAAAACACAGGCCTCGCTGAGAGTGCAAGCATTCAAAAATCGAAAGCTTTCACACATTAGAAATTGACTGTAAGTCATATGATTTCTCTGCAGGTAGATTGGCTGCTATTTTACTAGAACTGTTCTCTTCAAAATCTATAAGCCATATTTACAGCATGAATGCATTCAATAACTACTTCTACTGTTCCCCACAGAAATAAAGTCTGAGGATTTTCCCCACAGTTCACTGTGCTGTGGGGAAAATACGACACTCGCGTGTATTATTTTTGCATTTACTCTTGAACACATTAAAACACAACTCTTCACAAATAATACAGATAAATCATCAGCCTTCCTTTTGTGCGTCCAGGCTTTTTAAAAAAATTATATACACCTTTACCTCTGATTATATGAATGATGATATAATAGTAAAAAAATAATTCCCCCATTAAAATAACCTGCAGTGGTTAGGATGGGTTGGTTCTGTATTTAATGTCTCCCTCTGCTTTGTCTCATTTACTTGAAATTTACTGGATTTCTGGAATGAGAGATGATGGCTGAGTTTTTAAAAATGATTTATGTTCATTAATTACTAATTGGGATTTGATCATAAAAGAATTGCCATTTACCAATATATTCAAGAGAGGACAAACATTTCTGCAAACATGGGCAAATTTTTAAACAAGATCTAGTCTAAATCCAGCATTGATTTGGAAGTTTGGTATCGGAGTGATACTTCTCAGTAATTTATCTATGCATTTGATCCATTAACATATTAAACGTCACTGTTTATTTACTTATTATCTCTTATGCAGATAGCTTACACCCATTTAAACTGTAACAGCTGCATGGTGAGGATCAGATTCTCTGATTTCTTACTGTATTTAACATGTTTCAGCTGCTGATACTGAGAGAGAAGCTACCAGAAATGTCAGCAAACACGTCCATCATCTCATGGATTACT